GCCACAGGCTCTTTGCCATCAGCCAGCAGATGGCAAAGAAGCCTTTACCGGCAGGGTTTCAGACGAACTGTTTGCCATCTGCTGGCAGATGGCAAAGCCTTTGCCATCCGCCGACCATGCCTTTGCCATCTGCCATGGCAGATGGCAAAGTGCCAGAGTCCAGTAGTGAGGTATTTCCCTCAGTGATGAGATCAATGTTATCGAACCAGTAGGAGAACCAAGCAACACTATGTAAATGGTACCTGCACACAAAGAACAAATACTTGCAACCCGACGTGTAAGAGGGTTGTCAATCCCTCCCGGGTAAAAGATATATTTGTTTTGTAGTAGATTGGATAAATAGATCTTGCAATAAAGCAAAATAAAATAAATAAAGGAAATGTGCAGCAAGGTATTTTTGGATTTTTGGAATAATAGATCTGAAAATAAAAGCGAATAAAAATAGATCTCGAAGGCAAATATGGTAAAGAATAGACCTGGGGCCCATAGATTTCACTGGTGGCTTCTCTCGAGAAAAATAGCATATGGTAGGTAAACAAATTACTGTTGGGCAATTGATATAACTTCAAATAATTATGACGATATCCAGGCAATGATCATTATATAGGCATCACGACCAAAATTAGTAGACCGACTCCTGCCTGCATCTACTACTATTACTCCACACATAGTCCACTATCCAGCATGCATCTAGTGTATTAAGCTCATGAAGAAACGGAGTAGTGCAATAAGAACGATGAGATGTAGACAAGATCTATTCATGTAGGGATGAACCCCATCTTGGTATCCTTAATAGCAACAATACATATGTGTCATGTCCCCTTCTGTCATTGTGATTGAGCACCGTAAGATCAAACCCATCACAAAACACGTCTTCCCATGGCAAGAAAAATCGATCTAGCTGGCGTAACTAAACCAAAGATTCGAAGAAGAAATACGAGACTATAAGTAATCATGCATATAAGAGATCAGAACTCAAATAATTTTCATGGATAAAATAGATCTGATCATAAACTCAAAGTTCATCGGATCCCGACAAACACACCGCAAAAAGAGTTACATCAAATAGATCTCCAAGAAACCATTGTATTGAGAATCAAAAGAGAGAGAGGAAGCCGTCTAGCTACTAACTACGGACCAAGGTCTACAATGAACTACTCACGCATCATCGGATAGGCACCAATGAGGATGATGAACCCCTCTGTGATGGTGTCTAGATTGGATCTGGTGTCTCTGGAACTTGCGGTGGTTGGAATTGTTTCGTCGACTACCCTAGGTTTTTTGGATTTTCGGGATATTTATAGAGCAAAGAGGCGGTGCGGGAGGCAGCCGAGGTGGGCACGACTCACCAGGGCGCGCCTAGGCCCCCAGGCACGCCCAGGTGGGTTGTGCTCCCCTCGGAGCCCCCCTCTGGTACTTCTTTGGCCCAACAGGTGTCTTCTGGTTCAGAAAAAATCTCCAAAAAGTTTCACTGCGCTTGGACTCCGTTTGGCATTGATTTTGTGCGAAGTAAAAACAAGCAAAAAAAAGCAACTGGCACTGGGTACTATGTCAATAGGTTAGTCCCAAAAAATGATATAAAGTTGCCATAAAATGATTGTAAAACATCCAAGATTGATAATATACCAGCATGGAACAATTAAATTTTTTAGATACGTTGAAGACGTATCAATTACCTTAAGCTTGTGACCCTGTAGGTTCGGTGAAAATAGACATGAACAAAAACCCCTTTGTTCAATGACCGATAGCGGAATCATGGACGTCCATATCGGGCCCTATGAGTACATGAATGACATTTGAGTGAACCTTCGGTTATCATGTGCTATTACCTTTGCTTCATGATACTTTATAAAACCCAAGGTGATACATATCGGTATCCTCTTGAGTCATACACATGCTCACTCTACGGGTCTCCTCGTTACCGCTTTTGTTCTTATTTCTCGTTGATATGTTTCGGCATCCCTGCGAGATAGTCACTTGCGTCTGGCCAGACGACGATGGATGCCATCACATCGAGAGGGCCCAAAAAATATCTCTCCATCATCGAAGGAGCAAATTCCACTCTTGAGCTATCTAGTCCCTTGTCATACTTTCCGGTGAACCTGTAAGCTGTCATTATGATCAACATGTTACAGATGATGTTTGACTAACCCCAAGGTCCATTGTACGATAAGAAGTGACTACGATACTCTCATGGTCTAAGGAACTAAATCACATGTTAACACTTCGCGTTATAACAATTGATTTCACATGATATTATCTCAAAGTATAACAAACAAGTTTGAGTCGATTCAATATGATCGTTCTTATAACGTCATACTCTCAATGTTTTTTTAGGACTATCGTTACACTTAAAGATATCCTAAGATCCGGAAAACATGACCACCAATAGCATTTGAGCTAGTTTTAGGGGCGGGCTAGGAATCTTATTATACCATTTATCATTCCACGCGTGCATATGAGTTTTTCACTAAATCGCACATTCCAGGTTCATACCAGTTATAACATGGATTATAAACTCTTAATTATGAATATGAAAATAAAACAATACAATATTATTGCCTCTAGGGCATAATTCCCAACAATATCAGGGTCATGGTAAGAAGCCCATCATCATTCTTGAAGTAGTTGCATCACATGAGATTTGGATTTGACACACTTTCCTTAACATGCCCGAGTCTCATAATGACATCAATGTGCTGCAGCGATCACCATTGTTTGCTAGGCTGACTGAAGGAAAAACTCCTCCTTGCCACTATACTGTCAATGGGCATGTGTACAATATGGGCAACTATCTGGTTGACGGTATCTATCGTCTGTAGGCTACCTTTATGAACACCATCTTTAACTCAATTGGCCAGAAAAAGTCTCACTTTGCCCAAAGAAAAGAAGCAGGTAGAATGGATGTTGAGAGTGCTTTTGTAGTTCTGAAGGCACGTTTTGAATTGTTTGTGGACGTGCTAAACAATGAGATCCAGAGACCTTGTGGGAGGTGATGGCATGTTGTGTGATCATGCATGATCGTGGAGGATGAGGGTAAGGATGCTGCCGCAGATCTTGGATTTGAGAACATGGGTAATCCTAATCCTATGGAACTTCATAACCAGAATTCGGTCACATTTGAAGAGTTTGTTCAAATGCATCAACAAATACGACATTGAGCAGCTCACGAGCAACTGAAGGGATATCTCATTGAGCATCTGTGGGTTACGATTAAAGGGGACATCAATGTTGAAGTGTAATATTCGAACTTATTTAAATTAGAACTACAGCTATATTTGAACATTTAAAATATTCCAGACTATATATGCGGCTATTTGAGCGCGTGGATGTTAAAAAAATTGGGGCCGGATGTATGCGAACAACATTGGATGGTCGGCCCCCGCATTAGTATCCGCGGTCTGGTCCCCTGTCCGCGGACGGGTGCCGATGCCAATTTGCGGGTCAGCATCGGAGATGCTCTAACTTCTTTTTTTTCTGAGAGAAGGCAACTCTAACTTCTAGGCCTGTTTGGCCCTTGTGCATAGTCCAGCCCAATTTCCACAGCTGAACCTGATACCCTCCCCATGCTTGAAAACTCCAAGCCGCCGGCGCCGGCCGCCTCTCTGGTCCCTCCTAGACACCTCCGTCCCGTCGTCCCAACCCCGCCTCTCACCAAACCATTCCTCCTTGATGTCCTCGTCTCAATCTCTCATCCTCCTCCTCACCTCCCCTCTCCCCCCGCCTCCTCGTGTCGTCGCCGCCATCCCACCATCCTCGCGCCCCACCACCGCTAGCCGCTTCCGCCACCTCCCGCGCCTCACCGCCAATCTCTGCCTTCCGCCACTCGCGACCTCCGCTTCCGGCGGATTCGGAGATGGCAATTTCCCCGGTGGGGATGGGGGTGGCGGAGGAGGAGGAGGAGGGGGTTGGTGGCAAGGCGGGAGAGGAGACCCCCCCGACAAGCCCGGAGACGGGTGGCGACGGTGGCTTCAGTCCCTCCACCCCGAGCTCTTCCTCCTGTTCTTGCTCCTCCAGTCGGACGCCTTCGCTTCCATCCCATCCGCCCTCGCCGATGCCCTGGGAGCAACCGGCGGCGACGGCGGTAGCGTTTGGGAGGTGAGGGGCAGTGCGCGTACGCTGCTCGTACCCAACCCGACCGGAACCTCATACCTCGTTGCGGGAGACGATAAGCGGAAGCAAGAAGAGGGTATGGAAAAGACGGGGGCTGGCCCTGCTAATTTGGCCGCACTGCGGAGGCAACTCGAACGGTCATGGCGGCGGTGCACTGATGTTGCTCTTCAGTTGCTGCTGCCTGATGGATACCCGCACAGCGTGAGCAGCGACTATCTGCACTACTCGCTGTGGCGGGGCGTGCAAGGTGTTGCTAGCCAGATCAGCGGCGTGCTCTCTACGCAGGTATCGTTCGTAAACGCGTGTGTTAATTATGTATGTGCAATTCTCAGTCCGCCAGGTAAAACTTAGCATTTCTATCGGGTGAACTGTACTCCGCAGGCGTTGCTGTACGCAGTTGGTTTGGGTAAAGGAGCGATCCCGACGGCCGCCGCAGTGAATTGGGTGCTGAAAGATGGGCTTGGTTACTTGAGCAAGATACTCTTGTCGAAATTTGGGCGACATTTTGATGTGAACCCGAAGGGATGGCGGCTGTTTGCAGATCTTCTGGAGAACACAGCTTATGGGCTGGAGATTTTGACTCCGGTATTTCCTCACCTGTTTGTTCCCATTGGTGCAGCCGCTGGAGCTGGCCGATCGGCAGCTGCTCTAATACAGGTCAGGACTCAGGACTGTTACTTCTTGTACTGGGTTATCGGATTATCAGAGTTACAATGTTCCTGACCTATTTTTTCCATCCAATTCAATCTGGATCCATGAACACAACTGCTTATATAAGTGGTGACTGAATAAATTTTACAGTCTAGAACATGCTATTAACTTCTATCACAAACTAAGACTACACAACTAGCTCTCTAGATCCAGTATGCACATGTAAATAAACAACTGATTTCACATGCTTTGAACAAGCATTCCCTCTGACAACTTATACATTATATTTCATATTTCCCATACTACATGAACAGTCTAATTTTTACAACAGTATGCGGGTCCATTCTAGCCTTCTGCTATACTGAAATGTGATAATCACGTTTAAAAAAAAGTAATATTCCCTCTATTCCTGATTTGCATGCGGACCAGGACACATGTAGAAGAGACTGCATTATCCCTCTTCATTAACGCACTTGTTACTCTTGAATGGTGTGTGTTGCTCTACCTCCCAGAGTCCTAAGTGGCACTGGAGGTAGTCAAAGGACGTGGTATAGAAAATAAGCATACCCAGCATTACATAATATTACTACTACTGTTCCTATTCATATGTCTCAAACTTGGCATCCTGAACAAGTTACTTCCGTTTATAATAGTGCCGAATTGCATATCAAATTATATGATTGAAGTATTTACTAGCCATTTATCTGTGTGGTCAAATTAAGTGAAACAAATAATTATTGTGCAGTGTTATATACTATATAACATACTATGTGTTATTTCCTAATAAGCCGACGTTATTAATTTAGTTCTAGAAACCCTCTTTTGATAAACAGCTTCTACCATTTTTGTGTGTAGGCTGCCACAAGAAGTTGTTTCTTTGCTGGCTTTGCTGTCCAGAGAAACTTTGCTGAGGTGAAGTCCATATCCATTTTTTTTTCTGAACAATTTTCACCGAACACTTGTTTTGACTTGTCTATGTAAATGTTTCTTTTAATGTATCAGTCCTCAGACCATTAGATTATCGTATGTATGCCTCACAGTGCCATAGCAATTGGCCCGCAAAAGAGTTACATAGCACAGGATGCCTGTTATCTCTTGGTTCATTTCACATTTGATATATTTTGTTGCTTAGAAAAGCATCTTTTAGGATTTGAATTAGGTTCAGGATCTCATCTCAAGTTGGTTTCTTACTTTGTCCATATTGGATTGTGAGACAAAGAGTTTGAATCATATGGGATAAGTGAAGCCACGCCTGGGGAAACCTACACACTTTAACTTATGGAATGAAAATATAATCAGTTTTTTCTCCCCAGAAGTCTTCTCCTTCACCTATAGCCTATTTCCCTAAATCTAGTATCTCAAACTCCTTTAAAGGGTGCAAGCACTGATATATGTTACTTAGCATTTACTAATTACTGTCTCAACTAACGCTCATGATGATACCTATCTAATTGTTCACTTTGAGAATGTGATGTTATAGAATATATGATGCTATTCCGAATCCTATAAGCAATATGTATCTGAACCTATCTCAGATCTAGCTTACCCTTTTTTTTGTCCTTTTTTTTGAATCTTATTTTTTTGTCTTTGTTGTTAGGAAATATATTGTATGTTGCGAGAGAGAGAGAGAGAGAGGGAGGGAGGGAGGGAGGGAGGGGGGGGGAGAGAGAGAGAGAGCGAGCTCCGATGGACCATGGGCTCACATACAGCATACCCCCTCAAGAGGGGTGATAAATATCAATCGTCCCCATCTTGTCACATTCTCTGGTTCCCACTCCTTTAGTCAAGTAATCTGCAATCTGTTGCCCTGAGCTCACATACTCTATGTTGATAATCGCAGCATCCAGTTTTTTCTTGATGAAGAATCTGTCAATTTCTGCATGTTTGGTTCTATCGTGTTGAACTGGGTTGTTTGCTATGTTAATTGCCGACTTCTTGTCGCATTATACATTCATACAACTGGTCCTCAAAATCTTTAGCTCTTCAAATAGATTCCTTATCCATAACAACTCACTCAATCCTTGAGGCATGGCTCTGTATTCAGCCTCTGTAGTTGATTTGGAAATAATTAGTTGTTTCTTGCTCCTCCAAGATGCTATATTTTCTCCTACAAAAACACAATGGCTTGAAGTTGATCTCTTGCCATCCAGGTAGCCCAATCAGCATCACAATAACCATCCACGACAAGGTGTCCATGACTCTTGTATATCAGTCCTTTCCTAGGAGAACCCTTCAAGTATCTCAAGATTCTATGTACTGCCTCAAGATGTTCACTTCTGCGCTCATGCATATATCTACTTACAACACTTATTGCCAATGCAATGTCTGGTTGTGTATGACACAAGTATAACAATCTTCCCACCAACCGTTGATATATTTCTTTATCCAGTAGATCACCTGATTGGGCAGTCACATTATGGTTTTGATTAATTGGGGTTGACGCAGCTCGACAACCCAACATGCCAACATCACAGAGGAGTTCTAGGGTATACTTTCTTTGAGAAAGAGCTATTCCTTTTCCAGACCTGGACACTTCTATACCAAGGAAGTACTTGAGAGTCGACCATCTTTAACTTCCTTGCTCAGACACCCCTTTAACCTTGCTATCTCTACGTTATCATCACTGCTGATAGTTATATCATCAACATAAACTGTAAGGATGGTTATTTTCCCTTTAGAGTGTCTATAAAACAGTGTATGGTCACCATTGCACTGCCCATACTATCACACACCGCCCGTCTAAACTTGTCAAACCAAGCTCTTGGAGGCTGCTTCAGTCTATAAAGGGCTTTCTTCGGCCTGCATACCTTGCCAACAGTCTCAGAAGTCGAGAACCTAGGTGGAATCTCCATGTAAGAACGCATTATTCACATCAAGTTGGTGTAAAGGCCACCAGAAATTTGCTGCACAAGAGATCAGAACCCCCACAATGTTCATCTTTGCTTCTGGAGCGGTCTCATTGTAGTCAATGCCGTATGTCTGCCTGTACCCCCTCGCTACAAGAGATCAAACATGACGCTGAGATCATTTTTCTCATCATAAAAGGATTCAGATTCATGAAACATAACATCCTTGCTCACAAAGGTTCACCTCTCAGACAGACTCCAACATTTGTACCCTCTTTGTCTGGAAGAATACCCAATAAAGATACACTTGATTGCCAATTTGTTGACTGATGGCCTATGATCATGAACAAAGCAAGTGCAACCAAACACACCTTGGGATGAATAGGGAATTTATTTTCGGTGAAAATCAACTCACATGGTGATTTCATACCTATCACCCGGGATGGTGTGCGGTTGATCAAGAAGGTGGCCATCATGACAGCTTCGCTCCACAGGAACTTGAGCACATTCATGGTGAACATCAATGCTCAGGCCACCTCCAACAGGTGGCGATTTTCCTCTCTGCCACGTCATTCTGAAGTGTGTCCGGACAAGATGTTTGATGCAGGATGCCCTTGTCCGGCATGAAGGCACCAATGGCCTTGTTAACATACCCAGTGCCATTGTCAGATCTGAGTGCTTGAATTTTCACATTGAATTGAGTTGGAACAAGTGCTTAAAAAACTTTGAAACACTGAAACACTTCATCTTTATGTTTCAGAAGATAGACCCAAGTCATCCGAGAATGGCAACCAATGAACGTAACGATATACTTCATACCACTGACAGATAAACACTGGACATGTCCATACATCAGAGTGGATTAACACAAAGGAGATATGCTCCTGATCCCCTTACTCACATATGAGTTTCTGGCATGTTTAACAGACTCACACGGATCACAATGCAGCTTGCTCTTGTCCACACCACTAATCACATCAGGAAATACTTAATACATTTTGTCAAAAGACGTTCCATCCTACAATGATAGATTGGGGCTCTTGTTTCCTTATCCCCAGCAACTGCGCCTAGCATGTGCATTCCCTCCTGGTCCATCATGTTGCGGTCCATGTACCACAACCCTCTACGCTTTGTTCCATTTCCAAGGCTCCTGCCTGTCGATCTCTCCTGGATCAAGAACACAACAACAACAAAGCCTTTAGTCCCAAACAAGTTTTTTTTTTGACTATTTACTGTGGAGCAAAAGGCTATGTACAAACTTACCTATACTAACTATACATGTCTAAGGAAGGCTATCAATCCAAGCTAATATTTTTGGCCTGATACAATCCGTAACCCTATGGGCAAGCATGGAGATGTCATGAATAAACATACATCTCCCGGAGCTAAAAGAAGGCCTGGTCTCCCTGAAAGTCTTCCCATTTCTTACCAGCCAAATGCACCAAGTCGCAGTAAAGAAAACCTCAAAGAAGAATGGATGGCCAAAACTGTTTTTAGCATGCAGAATGCACTCAGCAATGTCACCCTGGTGTGTCCAATCAATCTGCAAGTAGTGCCAAACCCTGATGCTGAAATTGCATGAGAAGAAAAGATGAATCCTATCCTCATATCTTCTAGCAGGGCACATTTTTTTTTTGCGGGTGACATGACACAGAGATTATCTTATCAGTGGACCTCCATTTCCTTCTGACTAGTAAATCCTTGGTGTTCAGTCTGTCAAAGAACAGCAACCAAGTAAAACATTTAATTTTCATTGTGCATTTGCTCTTCCAAAGCCATCTACAGGGCTGGATAACAGGAAGATGTGTGTGCATCAGAGTATAGTAACTTTTAGCAGAATAATTTCCTTTATCCAGCCAGCACCAAACATCACTTTCCATGGGGTTCCTCTGTAAGTTAGCTATCCAGTCCTGTAAGCATAACAACTCTGTTGCAGCCACTTGAGATATTGGCAGATTGAACAATGAAGCAATATCAGGGGTGGATAAGAAATCAGAGACGGAAATCTTGTCATCAATTGCATAGGAGAACAGGTGAGGTAATCTATCTCGGAGAGGCCTTGTCGATCCATCAAGATGCCAGCCATCAGACCAAAGCAGTACTGAATCCCTAGAATTGACTATAACAGTAGCCACCGCTCTGTAATTATCAGCCAGTTCAAAAACATCCTTCCACCAAAAGGAGCCACATAAGACAGTGGCCTGTGGAACTACTCCATGATAGTATGAATCCCAAATAAGAGATACCCATGGTATGTCAGCCTTGTTATAAAACTTGTGCAAATGCTTTACCAGAAGGGCTTGGTTCTGTATTTGCCGATTAATCACTCCCAGTCCTCCATTTGCTTTTGGCCTACATACCAATTCCCAAGCTGCTAGGGATTGTCTTGGTGTATCAGAATTACCACGCCAAGGGCATTGCCTCTCAATCCTTTCAAGCTGCTTGATAATACCAATAGGGATATCCAATGGGCACAGGAAATAAATTGGCATAGAAGATAAAACAGAGGTTAAAAGTTGCAGCCTAGAAAACCCTGATTCAGCATGGAGGAACTAGCAGTCAGCCTTCTTTCAACCCTGTCCACAAGAGGCATGAGATCCTGTATCCTTGGTTTTGTTGTTCCCATTGGCAACTCCAAGTAAGTGAAAGGTAAAGTAGTACATCCAAAGACAGATGCAAGCCTGGCAGCCTCCTCATCAGATACATTAAGTGGCACCATCATAGATTTATGAAAATTCACCTTAAGGCCAATGGAGGCACGGAAAACATGTAACATCTCCTTGATTGCAATCAGTTGTGAGTCCACAGCAGGTACCAACATAATGGTTCTGCCACATGGACAGCAAGCTTCCACGCACCCCTGTCCATGGCTAGTTCTTTGGTGATACTCCAGTCCTTCAGATCTCTCTTTACGGACTCCTCTCATGTCAAGCTCGGTCTACCCCGACCTCTCTTGACATCATCAACACGCTTTAGCCGTTCGCTATGCACTGGAGCTTCTGGAGGCCGGCGTTGAATATGCCCAAACCCTCTTAGACGATGTTGGACAAGCTTCTCTTCAATCGG